TGTTCAACCTATGTCCTACAGACTTTGAAAGTTGTATTTATTATTGTGATAATACATATTATTTTGGTAATGACATGATTTATGTAAATGTCATTACTTATGATAAAGAGCTGGTAAGTTTCTTTCGCTTGTTCTTCTTGTCAGCTAAAAGACGTCCTGAACAAGTGGTAGGGGAAAAAAAAATTTTTTGGACGATTCCAAAGTGCTTGTAATAGCCTACTTGAATAAAGATATTTTCATTTCATTTCATTTCATTCATTATCGCATAACGCCATCTAGTAATGCGTAGACAAATCGCGCCGCTTCGCTCCGTAATAGTACAATGGCAAATTGCGTATAGTTGATATTCTATTGATATGCTATTATTTTCGTAAACGTTATCACATTTGACCTTCTGGTTGGTATTATCAGGTTTGTTTGCGGAAAAGTTGTTCTTAGTAATTATATATACGTCACCAATAATAATTAATAAAGAGCACCTAAACAAAATTTCAATTAGGCTATTGTTAATCTCAGATTGTGACGTCAAAGCTAAACTGCTATAAGCCCGTAAGCTTGTTACCAATCGTTTGGGATTAGTCTTTAAATAGTTGCACAACATTGATAACGGTTTACCGCAGTCAAGCGAAGTAGCAAAACTATTATAATGTTGTATACTCCAAATAGGTCCTAGTTTTATCTTCTAGTCTTCTAAATATACATAACTCAAAGGTGACTGACTGACATAGTGATCTATCAACGCACAACCACTGGACGGATCGGGTTGAAATTTGGTGTGCATATAGATGTCTACTAAGAACGTAGGCATCTGCTAAGAACGGATTTTGATCAATTCTACCCCCAAGGGGATAAATAGGGGATGAAAGTTTGTATGAAACTTTGTCAATTTTAAACCGATCGGGCTGAGACTTAGCATGCATAAAGCTACTATGACGTAGGCATCCCCTAAGAAAGGATTTTAATACATTCTACCCCTAAGGGGATAAACTTTTCGACGCGGACGAAGTTGCGGGCAAAAGCTAATATAAATGCTTAATAATTTTCTTTAATTTTCTAAAATAAGGGGTTAATGTATGAAATTGCCGATTTGTACTGAAAATCAAAATTTGTTTAATTTTTAACAGATTTATTTAATCAAAATAGCAACCATTATTATCTATACATTGCTGCCATCTAATAGGAAGGTCATTTATGCCTTTGCGATAGAACTCCGAGGATCTAGACTGTACAAACTGTGTGAAAGCATTTTGTCAGTACAAAATGACAGGAGGCAGTCCTCCTGGGAAGAAAACTTCTTGTCACGTAGATAATTTTCGCTCACATGAATTACGAAAAAATAACGAAAAAAACAATGATAGTCCGTTGGAGCGAGGTCTGGCGAATACGAAGGATGAAGAACAGTTTCTAACTGCAGTTCTTGAAGGGTCAAAACGGTTTCTCGTGCTGTATGAGGTCTCGCGTTATCATGGAGTAATAATGGTGAAGATCGATTCATGAGTCGGGGCTGTTTTACTGCTAGTTCGGCACAATAGACATCTGCCGTTATTGCTTAACCAGTTCGGAGAAAACTATAGTGAATAACACCATGCTGAGACCAGCAAACAGTTACCATTACCTTTTTATTGGTAAGTTTTGCTTTAGGATACAGTTGTGGCGTTTGACCTGAGGTCAGCCATTGGAGTTTTCTTTTACGGTTATCATAAAGAATCCAATTTTCATCACATGTCACAATTCGATCAAATATTGATTCATTTCTATACCGGTTCAACAAGGCAACACAAGATTCAACACCCGTTTCTTCGTGTTTGTGTGTCATTTTTCTATTTTACTGATTTAACGCAAATAAGTCAATATTGTGGGTAAGGTATCGTTAAGCCATGCCGCTAATACCTGGGTAGTTTTACTAGAATCGGCTTCCACCATTTCTTAATTCATCGTTATTCACCTGTGTGGGCGGTCTTCCTCGTGGCTCGTTCTTCAAGTCGAAGTTTCCATCACGAAAGCGTTTATACCAAAATCGCACGGTGCGTTCATTAGCAGACCTCTCTCCAAACGCAACATTGATATTGCGGGCTGTTTCTGCCGCGTTACCTTCGCGCCGGAACTGGTATTTTGAAATCACTCGAATTTATAGCAGTATCCATCTTTCTCGTCTAAGTTGAATAACGAAATAATTTAAAGTCGATATTTAAATGTTTCACATATTCTAAAAACATCATAGAAACCACGTGTGCCTCAAACTATGAAGATTATATGTCAATTCAAGGAACTTATTACAATAAAATGGCAATTTCATACTTTAACCCCTAAATATTTGATTAATTTCACAATGCTATACTGAAAATTATTCCTAATGAAAGAGTGCCAGTGGTACCAAGAGTACTAAGAGTACCAAGCATTTTTCATTAACATAAATGATCTTTAACTGACTTCAAATATTAACAAATATTTAAAACTTTCGATAAAGATGAAAATTTGTTCTAATAATTATATTTGATCAATTTTGCATTCACAATGCTATACTCCCAGATAGCAATTTAAACTTGTTTCTGACTTGCAACAAGTTTGATATATCAAAAAAAAAGACTTGCTTCAAGTTTGCCATGACAACTGCAGCAACTTGCAGCAAGTTTAAATCAAACTTTCTAGTTTCAGTGTGACCAACTTGCACTACCTTTGACGTATCAAAGGTACTGCAAGTGTACTTACACCTAGGAAAATTATTATTGCTACTATCGTAGTATTTTTATACGTGTTAATGTCACAAAGTATTGTAACTAACTGCAGGATACATAAAGTTGATTTTTTAATAAAGATAAAACCAATATAATATTGTTTTATTTAATTAATTAATGGTAGATTTCAATTTCACTAAGCTTAATCAAGTAATATATTTATAACACTGAACTTAATCTAGTAATATAAGTATATCACTAAACTTGGACCGCTTTATAACTATATTCCTAGTGAGATAGTAATGAATCGCTTCCGTATAACTATGCTACGGTATATAATTATGTCCCTAGGGATATAATTATATTACGGCTTTATCTATCTTACTGCGACATATATATTTCTTTGTATGTACGTGTATTCATTGATGTCCTTTTGAACTGTTATCCAATTTCTATAAACCCCGTGACTTCGCTAGTGTAAAATTATTGGCTATTTTCCCCGCGTATTATGTAGCTTCCCGTATAAGAAAGAATTGTATAATCGGTCCAAACAAACAAACAATCAAATTTTTCCTCTTTGTGATATGAGTATAAATTTATTGGAATATTATTGAGGGATTCGTGACAGAACATGTAATCCGACATTTTGTGGCGGCGGCCATCTTGGATCGATTTCCATCAGACATAGTGAAGAACACTCCCAACTAATACACCTTTCAAACAAAAAAAACAAAATCAAAATCGGTTCATCCGTTCGGGAGCTGTGATGCCACAGACAGACACACACAGACACACACGTCAAACTTATAACACCCCGTCGTTTTTGCGTCGGGGCTTAAAAATATGTCCAGCAAATAAAAAAAATCTTATTTCTTAAGAATTTCACTGTGTATAATATTTTTAATGATAATAGATGTTATAATTTTTCGCAAAAATAAATAAAAAGTATCAATATCACTAAAAGCATAAAATAAGAACTTTTTCATAAAATAAAACCGACTTTAAACTTAAAAAAGTGAATTTCAAAATCGACTTTTTCAAAATGCTATCGAAGTCGCACGTTTATTATTTAACTAGTGGCCACCAGCGAGTTCGTCCGCGTTTTCCATTATTTCTTCGCTCCTTATAGTTGCAGCGTGATGATATAGCCTAAACATATAGTCTAGAAATTTATCTAACTCGGCTTTATTTAGGCAGGGTCAATGTTTTGTATCAACGTAGAATTGCTAAGAAATAATCGCGGAAGCAGTTTAGAATCAGCGACCAAAGGGGGGTGGGGGATTGGAAGTGGGAATACACACTCCCCCACACCACACGCCAAAGCGCGGAGAAGTATAGTTAAGAAGAAAATGAAATCTTTATTATTATATCATCCAGGTAATTTAAATGTCAAAATATATGTCATGATATACGAAAGTAGGAAGACTTTCGTATATCGTGACATATATTAGTATGTTTAAAAATTACACTTGTATGTTTAAAAATGTTAATAAGACCTAAGTACAAGATATCTCATCTAAGAAAGTTGTAATAATGTCTAAATATTTAAAAAAAGCAAAAGTTACATTTGTTGCTGAAGGCAGCTTTTGTAATTTTAATATTTTCGCTTTTTACTTGATTTGTATTGTCTGTTGACAGATAAAGGAGGCCCAGATCTAAGGGGTGGGCAATTGGAGCCACTTGCTCCGGGCTCCTGTGTCAGGGAGGCGCCAAAATCAACTTTTAGCTACTATAATATCTAATCATCACGGTCATACTTCAAAATCTAAAATTGAAAGAAAAACCATCCATTCATTCACTGCAAAAATAGGGCCATATAAAAATGTCGGCCTAACAGAGGATAGGGTAAAAAAAAACTTAGATCCGGGCCTGAGATAAAGTAGTTTCTTCTTTGTTTTAACGCAGCGTATGTGTTTCTAATATATATTTTTGAAAATCTTATACGATATATAGCCTACCACTGTTATTAATATACAAGGTTTAATTAACGTTTGAGTAAATTTACGCTGAGACTGCACTTGGTATTAGTCAAAATTCATGTTATTAAACAGAGACTTGGCAAAGGTTAACCTAGTACCCGGTTCTACGGGAGTCATATTTACTCCTGGAAAGGAGTAGGTTAATTTGGACTAATACTAAAATTGCAGTTTTCGTGTAAATTTACTCTAACCGAACCTTGTTTTTTAATGGCACTGAAGCGTCTTCTTTTATATGCCTATATTGACAGTCCGCAGTGTTAAGTAATTATTTAAAATAAAACAAATGATAGGAAAAAATAAAATATTATTTTTTAACAAAATAATTATAAACATTATTATTTGTGTTTTAGCCTCTGGCGAATGGCGCTTCAGCATTTGTTTCTAGGTAGAAGATGCCAGTAGATCTGGAAAGAATAACCAATTGAATTACTGGTATACAATAACAGTCGAAGCGTGAGATTCGTGAATATCTTTCAAATGTCAAATTGAAAGGGATTGCGGTAGTTTTTATAATTGGCCAATTAGGCCTCTGTTCTCCCCCGACTTCTACATGTCAATTTTGGCTTTGTATGTATCAAACTCGTTCTTTACTTGCGGCATTCTTTTCACATGTCTGAACCAATGGAACATTGCCTTTATCTTTTACACGGACACTTTTTATGACAATTTTCTTTCTTATGCCATCATCATCAGCCCTTTATTTCGTCTCCACTGCAGGATGGGTTGGGATGCAGGATGCAGGATGGTTAAGGAGCATGGGCCATGACCCTCCACGCTGGCCCAATGCGGCTTGGCGGGTATTAACGGCTACAAATGCAGCCGGGAGCAACGGCTTAACGCGCCTTCCGAAGCACGAAGTAGCTCGAGATAATAGTTTTTTGGTTACCCTAGTGAAAGTTTCTTAAAGACAACGATCGCCTGCCGCGGCGCTTATCTACTACGCCACCGAGCTACTCTTTCGTATCTCTTTATTACGAATATAATCTGCAGCATGACTCCATACATTCCGCGTAATGATCGAACCTCCGCATTATTTTACTCGAATACTTTCTCTGACGTAACGTAGACTGGATTGACCTTCCTTCCCCCATAGGGAGAGTAAGGCACCCCGAACCCCTAAGGTTGAGAGCCGAAAAAAGATCTATCTATCTATATCTTCATCTTGCGGGTTTTTATAACTGCTGACATCTTCTAAGAGCATGCTATTGATTTGATCGTGAAAGGAGAGTCGCCTTCCTCGGCTTCTGCTTTCTTCAACTTTCGCTTTGTAAATCAGTTTTGTCGTTTTTTCATCTGGAATTCATCTTAGATGCCCGAACCAACGGAGAAGTAAAGATGCTTACCCCATTTTAGGTTGTAGGCCACCCATCTGAAGAGTTCCCGGCATGAGGCAGGAGCCAGCCATAGCAGCAGCGGATGTCAAACATCTACGACCAGTGAATGTGCCACCCCCAATGCTTTCAGCAAAATAGAAATAGGACCTGGAACAGAAGAAAGAATCAGACATTTTGTTGAGGACCGGAAGCTGGACCAACGTCTTTTTATTACTATCTATGTTTTGATGGCTTTATTATATATTTTTGAAGTTTATTTGATTCATTAACATCATCAGCCCTTGTAGGTCAATGCTGGGGTTCAGGCTTTCCTTATGGATGGTTAAGGAGGATGGGCCATAACCCTCCACGCTGGCCCAATACGAATTAGAGGGTATTAACGACTGCAAATGCAGCCGGGATCAACCGCTTAACGCGCCTTCCGAAGCACGAAGTAGTTCGAGATGATAATTTTTCGGTCACCCATCTCGCGACGAACCCTTGCGAAAGTTGCTTAACAGCAAGGATCGCAGGCCGCGGCGCTCATACACTACGACATCGAGCTACTTATTAATTACCTTGCATGAGAGCAATCCGAGATAAAGCCACAGCCAGGCATGTTAACACCTCCATTGGGGTAGAAGGAGACTTGTGCTAAGGGATTTATGATGCCGGCTACACCAGCATTCGTGTGAATCAGCTCGGTGTAAACGCCGTCGTCTTCTCTGAAACGGTTGTCATTGGTCATCCACCCTGGACCAGCGGCGTCGAGACCTAAAATACATTCAACGAATCATGCAACCGGGAGCTCTATTTTTGAATCATTCGTCTCGTGTCGAGCGCTCGTTTTCTCCAGATTTTTTTTCGTCGTAACAAATTCGTCAATGGGGAAGTATTTAAAAAAAAACGAAAGCACTAAAAAAGCACCTCCAACTAGATGGCGTCTCTAGCAAAAGTTGATTTTTGCAGGAAACGAATAGACCAAAGACAGTCATTTTCGTTCCTTTTAACTAACATATTAAAAACTGAAATTTGAAAAGTTCGAAACTAAAATATCAATACAAATACGAAATAGTACAAATAGAATATGAGTTGTTTATTGAGTTTTGAAAACTGATTTATTTTTAAACATGAAAGAAAACCGGAAGGGTTGTCATGGAGAAATCAAGAATGTACCGTAGCGACATCTAATTTGATTTCGGGAACTATTTAAAAAAAAATTAAGTCATTCCAATTCGCTCGAATGCAACGAGTGGTGTGAACCACTCATCGTTTAGCGTACGCTGTATTTAAGCGATAGAATAAACTAAAAGACACCACCGTGCGACTTGGAAGTCGAGCATGAGGTCGTATACGGCAAGGAGATTTTAAAAAAGTGAATCAAAAATAGAGCTCCAGTGCCCTTAAAATGGTAAATTATATTTATGTCTTAATGTGTGTGTATTATGCGAGCAATAGTACTGTCAAACGGCCATTTTGTTTAGTATTACGCTTCAACTTCATCAAAATGGAATGAAAATATTTATAAGTTAACGCACTTTCGTGGTATGATGAAATAGATTACGGAATTTATAATTATATCCAAAGTCATGAAATGGGGAAGTGTTTAGGATTCGTAGTCGGTACATGAGGGAGGACTAAAGGTCCTGTTATTAAAGATTCGATCACGGCTTCTCAAACTTTATACTTGGTAGAGAGTACAACATAGGGGTTCAACCATTCCCTCGAAACATAAAAAAAATTAAGTTTTAATATTGTTAATAAAGAAAAGGGCACGAGATCAATATCAAAAATATATTTAAGTAACCCAAGCCCAACCCAATTCTTATTTTATTTGTAGTTTGATCAGAAGACCCCTTACACATGTGAACTCAAACATAGTGTAGGACCAGAGGTACTACAGTTCTACAAATTATGACAGTCGTAAAGAGAGACTAAAGGTCGTATCTCTGGGTGGTGTAGCCCTGGGATGCGGTTCAACTGATATGGGCTTGATGTCGTATACATATACGTCGCTGTCGGAACATAGTAAGCGCGATGCAGATCGCCAACGCCGTATAAGGTAACGAGTTACCATTCTATTACGCCTTCAATGTAATATAAGGTTGCCGGAATGACGAGAGCAACAGTGAATATAAGTACTATGCACCAAATAACCAAACCACCAACCAACCAAACCAAAAAAGTTGGGTCGACTTCCACAGTGCTATTTATAATCAATATTTAGCGTCAGAGTAAATTTACGCTAAAATTGCAATTTCAGGATTAGTCCAAAATCATATTATACAGTGAATAAGGAAAACTACTTCATTCTAGAAGTAAATATTACTCCCGTAGAGCCTCGTACTAGGTTAACCTTTGCTAAGTCTTTGTTTAATAATATGAAATTTGACTAATACTAAGTGCAGTCTATTAAAGGACATTGCTCAACGTCCACACATTGGTGGCCCCAGAGCCAAAAAAATATAGGAAAATACTTATTTTATTGTGTGTCACTAGCTAATTCTCATTATGTATTTATTATACCGCGACCGAGTTTTAGAACTTATTATCACGCAAAATATAATTCATTTTGAGGTTATAATTTGTTTGGAAAACCACCAAGAGATGGCACTCTAAGTACATGATATGATATTGATGTCTATATTGTTGAAGCAAAAAAAAACTCAATTTTAAGAATGTCGGTTTTTCGTTATGATTTGTAAAAGTTTCTAAGTCAAAATAGACAAATAAATCATTCTAATAGTTAAATAATATACCCATTGATAAGCTTAAAATTAAAAAAACCTATAGCTTTTTGATGGTTTACATCAAAAGATGGCGCCTTAAATACATAAATGACATGATGTTAATATGTTTACGAGAAATATAATGTAATAGAAACAAAGTAGTTTTTAGGATATTTCGTATGAATATCAATCTTTCTGAATAAACAAGAGTGAATTATCAACAGTTAATGAATTTAGTTTGTATAATATTCAGTTTTTATGTCCTTATGTTTTAGTTGGAAAATCACCAAGAGATGGTGCTTTTAGTAAATTTAAGTTTATTTTCGGTCAATTTAATTTAATGTTTTTGTGTTCGATGATTTAAAGGTTATCTAATAAAAATAAATGATCTCAATCTGACGTGTAAATTACATCCATCTGACTCAATATAATTTAAGTATATTGAATGTGAATATTTGCGAATAAAAATGTTACTGTTAAAGTACTTTTAAATATTAATTTTGGATCGCAGCTTGTCCGTGTCAAATAAATATTTGATTACAATTTAATCAATAAATTAGTAATTATTATTGAAGTATTAATATTTAATGGTATTGGGGCCATTTTTGTCCTTTATTCCAACGCTAAACCTTGTTTATTAATTACACTGCTAAAGTTTTGATAGTTTGGTGTAGCTGAGAGGAGACGGTGCCCAGATATTTTGCCAGTAGTACTGAAAATTTAGAAGTATTCTTTTGATTTATCTGTTGAAATTTTCACTATTTTCCTATAACCGATATCAAGTTTAGATATTAATATCGAAAACCATTTTCAGATACAGATATCAAGAAATGTTCGCTGACTACTTTTCGATATATCAAAACTCATAATGTGGATATGATTTAAGCTTATCTCTTTTGATTCACGGACATTTGCGTACATTAGGAAGAGAAATCTTAAATAAACCTTACAACTGTGAAATTGTGGCTACTAAGTCGCATCAGTAAACGCGAGTTAGTCCCATAACGCTATTTTATTAGTTGTTAAGTTATTAAACATAAATATTTTTGTCTGGCAACACTACACATAATGTTCTGTTACGATCACACAAGAAAATGTAAAGGTTACTTTGCCAGATTCGAGCGTTAGTAACTGGATATTGGATGTTATATTTGCTTCAAATCTTTTTGGCACAGAAAGGGTGAATATTAAGCTATAAGTTTTGAGATACGATACGGTTTTGTATGTTTGCATTTTTAATTTAGAAAGTTATTAAAAAAATTGATATATAGTTTTGAGTTATCGATACGTATGTGATATTGTTACTCATATCGGTTTTCAGATACGTTTTGTTACATTGAACTAATGTCGTTTTTGATAACGTATTTCAAAATTTTTATAAAAGCACTAAAAGCTTTCCTTATATCAAAATGTAACGATCCTGTAAATGAGTACATATATACACGAGATATATTGTATGCCATCTGTTCGCTACAACAAATTAATAATAAAAAAGAGAACAAATATGTTTAAGTGGATTGCCTGAACATTGAAGAAGAAGAAGAAACATTTATTGACCTCACAAAGACACAAACAAGATAATACATTATTAGGAACACATAAAACACAATAAAGATACAAAAGAAACAATAAGGTACATAATTAATAAAAGAGAAAGAAAGTGAGGTCAACCAGGACTCTGCCTCAGCTGGTGTTGATGCGACACGGAAAGCGCCACATCAACGCTGATATTGATGCAAACACGCTCTGTAGTAGCGGAAAAGTAATAAGTGTTCAAAAATTCTGAGTCCCGTTAGGTCCTGGGCGACGTGCCCAGGACCAGTGCTTAGAGCAGTCGCCCAGATTGCGAAAGGTCATATGTTCGAGTCCCATCTCAGATTGCCAGATTTTTTCAGCAATTTTCATTAACTTATATACTTAATTTAAACATGTTTATATGGACTTTAAACATTAAATTAACGGTAACAGAGTTTTTAAGGTCTTTATGTATTATTACAACTGTATGTACCAACACTTAGTTTGTAAATAAACTTTAGACTTTTTTGAAATGCAACCTTAAGTCTTAAACCAAGGCTCTTCACACCCGCCCTGAAAAGGACAGGTTTAATGAGGCCGGTTTTCCTGGTAAGACCCCGCACCCGTTCAAAAATGGACAGGCTTAAGTGAGGCCGGCCTGACCGGTAAAACCCTCAACGTGTACCCTCCGGGGAGGAAAAGAACGATCCGGGATCCGTTAAGGAGTCCGCCGGCTATCGAACTCATGCCAATTCCAATAAGTAAGTTTACCTGTGATGTAAGCAATAGATCCTCCTAGGTGTCTTCCTATAATACCGACTTGGTGAGCACCAAGACTGAAGCCCACCAGATGAAACATTACTGGAGTTGTACCAGCAGCCGAGTTTAACCAGTTGATGAAGCTGGCTACGCTTATACCTGCAAAGAACCAAATGTCATCATTATCATTGTCAGCAGTTCTTTTACGTTCCCACTGCAGATGCCTAGGTCTTCCTTATGGACGGTTAAAGAGGATTGACCATTACCGTCCACTCTAGCCCAATGCGGATTGGAGGGTAACGGCTGCGAGTACAGTCGGGACCAACGGCTTAACGTGTATGCCGTGAATTAATTTATTAATTTGTTCCTGTTCGTAGAACGGGTACTAGGATAAGAAGCCTTAAACCAATACGCGGTAGTATTACTATCATTATCATAAGTACTTTTTTGGATTAACAATTTACATGAGACAGGAATTGACTTGATTTCCACAATCGCACTAATAATATGCCATAAATAAATATTAGACAGCATGAGATAACAAAGGTACTATAACACACAGAACAGAGACAATATTTTCTTTTCCATTTTCTACATTGACCCGATCGGGAATCGAATCCTGGACCTCGAAGATGACGACACCTCCACACTGGTGTATGAACCACTCGGCTAGACAACTTATGAAAATAATGTTGGAACAGAAACCGTTTTTGATAAAGTATTCCTTTGGGCTAAAGTTAAAAGTTTTCCTAATTTTTAAAAATCTTTCGCAATCCCATTCAAGCTTATAGCGGTTGTAATAGTTATAATAATAATAATAATAATAATAATTTATTTGCTTTTAAATGAGGTACATTGTAGATTGAATTAAAATTTGAGTTCAGCCCATTTAGTCATTTAGTCATCAGCACATTGGATATATGTATGTCAAAATTATTAAATTAGAAATATCATTGTTACATAAAACTATTAAAGAGTACAATAATTATTCCCACTTGAAGAATGTCAAACAAATTAAATTATAAAATCAGTGTCAATATAAAAGTAGATAATGTCCAATTGAAGAGAAAAAATAAAATAACAAACAAACGAAAATATCACACATTTAAAGACATTACACAATTCACAACATATGCATTCGTTACTTATTTGTATGATTTAAATTTTCCCTAACACTATAAAAAGCATTATCACACAACCAAATAAATAGTGCCTTTTTAAAGCTATTAAATGGAAGATTCTTAATGCTAAGGGGGATATTATTAAAAAGCACAATTGTGTAACTTTTAAAGTTACAATTCATCTCGTTTGACATTTCCCAATTGTTTTCGAAGATATTCCGATTAACGTCAATAAACGTTTAGGTTTATTCAATATCTTCCAAAAAACCGTCGCTGTCACAACCGCTATCACATGTCAAATAGTTGTAGCATGAATTACGTGAATATCATTCAAATTAAATTTGATTGTGATAGACTTTAAAATTGAACAATCAAGTCACAAGTCAGATTCACTGCGACTTTTTATTAATAGACTTATAAATAATCTAAAATAAAGAACGTAATTGTTGGTCGAAGGCCTTACACCGTTCTAACAATGGAGAAACCTTTATCTCATCATAACGTGACAAAAATCTAAATGTCCAGTGAAGATAGGTGGTAATTTATTACAACAGATACAAATGAGAAACCAAGAAGCTTTTTGAAAAATGGACATTTCAATATTTGCAACTAAATGGAATAATATTACTAAAGAGATATGTAGGTATTTATCTGTCTATTTATATTGCCATAACTGTAAAAAAATATTTAACAGAAATGCACTAAAACTTTTATTTATTAGAATCAAGGCGTACCACAGGGTAGTACTTTACTATCTACTTCTCACCTGAGGGGACAGTGTTAGCAACAGCAGCAGCGTAATTGATGCTACCTGAACCTGCACTCCAGTCCACCACGATCACATTTACGTCTTCAGCAGCGAGGAAAGCTGTGAAATTTTATTTGTATTTTATTTCATTCATTTTGGGGAGCTTACAGTATTATTCACAATATGATTACATCTATCTATAATACAATCTTAAGATTGTGATTAACTTAAATTCTTTTAAGTTAATCAGAATCTTCCGCATATATGTAAAAAAATTGTTGAATGTAGTATTGTATAAGTAAAATTAATGAAAGCTGATAACATCTGTATGCAGATTTAACTATCCACTGTAAACACACTTAGATGTTTCCACAATAAGCTAAAGACATGGTCAGCGATGACTTCACTATAGAACTGTAACTTCAACATAAGAAGTCAATACATTCTTAGTATGTCTTGTCGTGCTATTGAAAAGATCGAGTCGACTATCTTCATTCAATTTTATTGATTCATTGATAAAAATATCAATTCTAATTAACATACTGTTACTCCTAAATTTCGTACGTGCAAAAAGATTACGAAGCAAAATATTTTTCTGATGAAGATTTAATTTGCGTTTGGAACAATCCAACCAGCAAAAACAATCTGACAGGGATTAAACATAGTCTAATTCAAAATAACGAAATAACATATAGATTCATTAATAATCGCATATTTGCTGGCGGCATATGAACAAAAATGTAATACAGTGTCAATTGAACAGTACACAGCAACAAAGCGATAAGCTATCATCGACAGTAGTGAATACAGGCTTATTAACACGACAAGATAACTCATAAAATAATACGTCACCTACACTCAAATGTTTATGATAAAGTATTATGATAAATAGCAAAGATCATTGCCGAAGGATATTAAGCGTGCACAGACCATACACTTTTAAAATATTAGTTAAGGAGCACTATTTATCACTGAATTCATTGCAGCAATCATAATCCTAAATTTGCATTCTTAAGTAAGTGTATATGTATATACAACGTGTCCCAAAATTCAACGATAAGCGGGCGCCAAGAGGTAGACCTGCTCATGTGTACTTATGGAAAAATAAGAAAAAAATTATATCTTATTAATCTTTTTTATTATAAAATAAAATTCGAAAATTTTCGAAAGAGTTGTAGCGAATAGTAGTGCTACTTAGGTATCCGATACCAAAAAAAGATTGAACATAATTGAGAAGTTGTGGTCGTGGTAGTTGAAAATATCATAAAAGGTGTAAATTTTCGAAGATTTTCGAATTTAATTTATAATATAATCAGTTGTGTCATGCGGCTGGTGCGAGTGTTATGACATATTGACGTTCACCTTGTGCATTCCGAAGCAGTACCCGTCATGGAAGAATAAATACCGGCCCATGCGAAAGATGCTGAACTTACAACTGAAAACTAAGTAGAAAAATACTATGGTGTGTTGACTTTTTAACGTAACAAACTTTCTACGTCACGTGTAAGTAGCTTGTAAAGATTGTGTTACTATTAAACTAAATCCATCTTATTACAAAACGAGGAATGGTTAATACTAGTATTATTGGTAACCTAAAGAAGTTGACAATGACAGTAAGAATTTACTAACATAAATTAATATTTGCATCTAGCTTGTTTTAAACTATTCCAATTACCGTCAAATTAACGACATCTTTCACACAATATATTTCAAAAGATCGTTGCAATCGCATTCATATGTCAAATAGATGTAGCGTGAAATTCGTGAATCTTTCAAATGTCAAATTGAAAGGGATTAGGATAGATTTTAAAAATAGGCTTTTGTTTAATGTCTACTTGAAACAACAAAAATCTAGTGCACTTCCAAATAAAACAAATGCCAATCGAAAACCAGCAGCACATACTAAAGTTTGAATCTCTCAAATCCATGAGATTTGCGTGCGAGATCTTAAAAAAGAGGCGAGTAACCGAAATTGACAGTCCTGAAAAGTGGCACGAGAAAAAAAAAATATCGCGGGAGACAAAGCTCAAGCTTAGATAGAGTTTGAGGAGGGTTGCGGCGAACGGACATTTTTGTTGGCGAGTCATTTAATGATTCCCTTTATACGGGTAGGATAACTGTATGTAATAAAAGAACTGACAAATTAAAAAAATATAAGAGACATAATTAATAGGGATGACGCCTAGGCAAGAAGAGGAAATTCAATTTAGTCGATTTTTTGCTTCAATTTAACAATAAATTACTTAGATAATAGGCATAAAAGTAAAGGTGTGGTGGCTCATTACGTCACGACTAAATAGAAAATGTAAAAAAGTTTGACGTCATTGGATAATTCAACATATTATATATACATATATAAAAAAGATAAGATATAATTTTTTTCTTATTTTTCCATAAGTATACATGAGCAAGGGTACCTCTTGGCGCCCGCTTATCGTTGAATTTTGGGACACGTTGTATATGTCTATGTATGTATATGTAGTCAAAATTGTTTATAATACATAAGCATACATAGTCATGTATCCCTTTTTTTGCCTGGAACAAATTGTATTGTTCCTTCACTGGTGTTTACAATAAAGAGTACTTCATTCATTAATTCAAAGCGAAGAATAACAGACATAATCATAACTATTCTCTGCAGCAAGACTTTTAGCATTTGACAGAAACAATTTATTACTTATAGATGGTCACAAAAATGCGGTTGGTTCCATCTAGGTCAATGTCAGCAGAGCCTTTATGTAGCGTGCAGCAGCAACAAAATCTTCCATTAAATATCAGTTTAAAAATTTATTTTACTATTGCCCATGGCGTGCGACCGCACTCGAACGACAAAATTGGTGATCGAACACATTACTTTAGAGCCAATTTTAGAAACTATTTGTCCTTATTTGGAACTCCATTGATTTCAACAAAAATCAGGGGTTGAGGTCCAAGACAAGAATGCGCTCCTTTAATTGAGGTATTTCACTTTTCGGCGTCTCAATAACCTTACGTCTTTCCTACAACTTGCGCATCTTATCGGAAAACAGGAAACCACTTTTTAAATTAGTAATATCCTTTTTTATACCTTTAATCTCTGATAATAGCTCAGTTAAAGGTAGAAGCGTTAACTTAATACTAGCCGGTTCCTACAACGCTTGATCCTTTGATGGAATCTTCGGGGAACCACTACCCGGTCTAAAAGAACTTGAGTCGGACTTGCAAACCACTACCCGGTCTAACAGAACCCTTGCATGTGGAACATTTCCAAGTTGCCTGACGTTCATCTAATTTTCGACATCCAGCCTCAGTTATTCCAGAGCAGGGAAAATTAAAATGTCTCATCAAAACCACCACCACATCTTCCACACTTCAACATTGTGAGTATTTTTATATACTTACTTCTCTCTAAAATATTCAGGAAGCTCAGTCCGCACACAAACCTCGTACCACACAACTATCATAAAATCCTTCCAAACTACCTTATAATTTTCCTGGTTTACCCTAGAAATCATTCTTTTAATATTTACATATATAATTCTTATAGCATTATCCAAACACTGAATTAAATAAAACGTGCCCTGCTTTGTCTTGTGAATACATGCATTTCCTTTTATTTCGAGACTTAATGGGCTATCAAAATATTCATAATATATCAATAATAATAAATATTAACGACCTTTAAAGACTTTTGTGGAATAAGCTCCGGTTAGATATTAGAATGACAAATAGCAAACTAGCATTTAAGGGTACTTCTCTGATTTCGATGAAATTTGAGCAAAACAAGAGAATATTTTAAAATTTGAAATTTCTTATGTATTTCGAATGAACACCTATAATATTGTAAATTAATATTTTTTTACGTAATTGCACTCATAACTTTTCCAATTATAGGCTTCTGAAACTTAAACTTATGAAGGTAATGATTTATAGTTTGATGGTAATGAAAACTGGATATAAGGTAATGAAAAACAGTGACCTGGAAATGATAATATGCTGTTAAACGAACTGCTAATATTATATAAAATTAAAATTGCAATTTTTTCAGTGTCAACCACATTTATTCAAGCTCAAAAATAATGTATTTCAAATAAACATATTAATTGGTAGGCTTAAATTTCCACAAAGCCGTACTCATAGTAATTTTTTGATCTTAATAACAGATTTACCTTAACCTTAATAGAAACATAATTATTGCAGTCTTTGTTTTTTTATAAAATAATTGTCATAAAAGTAAAATAAACTTCTTATTACTTTGAAATAATAAAAAAAGACACTCAATCATATAACTTAGAGATGCTCACAAGTTAACGATGACGAATCAACATACTTGGCTTTTTATCACAATCATATATATTAACATAACATGATTAAAACAAAAAATAAAACCTTTCACCAACAAAATCAATCAAATGACTAATTCTTAATGTAACATACTAAATATGTTCTACATATCATCATCTTCACAATTTTAATTCTTCATTTAAAATATGTTAAATGTATCATCATCTTCGCTACTTTCATTCTCTTTTTCTTCTATCCTTTTTTTTTCAACGTGTTCTTTGTTAGTCTCTTTCAAAGATTTCACGGTATTACTTGACTCTCCCATATCTGTCAAAAATTCTTCAAAAGTTTTGGAAAACTTATTTGGTGTAAACTTTTTCTTTTCTTGCTTTGGTATGTAAAATGAAATATTTGTCCAGTTGAAACGGACATCTGACAGTACCGTTATTTTCGGGGGCTTAATAGTTTTCATTAAGGGATCTGCTATATTATTTTCTTGAGTTATCACCTCTTGTATGTTTTCAAAAGACTGTATCCTTTCAGATGAATTAGTGATATCGTCTAAAAGTTCTGGGGTTGTATTATTCTCAAGAAATTCTTGAAAAAAGTTCTCCTGGTGTGTGACTTCATCGTACTCCACCTCTAAATGCTGTCGTACGGTGATGATAAGAAACTAATACAGGCCGAACAGCTCTCACAGCAAATCTACTAGATGTCTTAAAAAACTTAAGTTTATTGTACAAGTATACAGGCTGGCGATTCTTTATAATATTAAATATTAGACACGCGAAATGTAGTTTCGCACGAGACTCCATTCGGAGCATATTTGCCGAGTTTAAGAATGGAGTTACATGAGTTCGAGGACGCACAGGAAAACAAAATCTACAGCAAGCGTTCTGAACTCGCTGAATCAGCTTTCGAGTTTTAACATATTAATTCAAATCACAATGCAACATTCAAATCAGCAATAGTAAAAAAAAATTCATCCCCATCAGTTTACTATCATTACCTTCAGATTTAAAACTGAAGGTAAATGAAGGTAATGATACCGAAGGTAGTGATTTTTTGCAGTATTTTGCTTCTCATGCTCAAATTTAAAATGATATTGTTAATTAGCAATAAATTATAATAAATTGTCCTTACATACAATATATGTATAATTAAATCACTGAAAAAACATGGTACTTATTCTACAATTTTGGTCTTGGTAAAGATGACAAACTCGTGACAAAATAAAATTCCACTCACTATTTTCAATTCTGCTTCGGCAAGTTGCGCGCATGGCCTCCCGGCTGAACTGTGGTTGCGACTGAGCAGTATGTGAGTGCAGACCAAGGGGGGTAACGCAAATAGGGTTTATACAGAAGGGTAGAGAGCTGCTTAAATGTGGGTTGAAGGTAATGAACGTTTTTCGTGTGACAAATGTTTAATTATTTCTTATTTTAATAAAATGAAGAATATATTTAAAATTAAAATATTAAGTTATGCTAGAATGTATATGCTCATAATATATAAATATTATGGGCCTCAAATATAACTTTATCATGTAAATAAAAAATGGTTTTTAAAATATTTCTGTTAAAGACACTGATGGTAGTGAATTTTTGGTTCTAAAAGTGAGCATATCTTTGATATCTTTTAATTTTGATTTTTTATTTCTGGGGTATTGCTAGCCTAATGTGCAATAGTTAATAGAGTATACAGTAATATTTGTATTTCAATAATTAATTTTTTTTTGACGCAGAAGTGCTTTTTCCTCGAAATCAGAGAAGTACCCTTAAACACAAGTATTTTTCTATTGTAACAAACAGATTCATTAAATCCTTAGTCGTATTTATATAAATATTTGTATTGTTTATGTTTTGTGTAAGTAAATACTCATGTACTTGTATATCAGTTTCCTCTACTAAATCTCCACTTCCATTTGCACATATCACCACAATTTATCTCCACATCACGTCCATTGTAAAGTCCGCCATCGCGTTTATGCAAGAAGAATAAATAAAATTGCGATTGCAAACTCTGTGGAGATTACACATACCATGGAGTTCCAACTCACCTGGTACAAGTACATTATTGAACGTTGAAGTAGCCGAGTCCATCCATCCGTGAACGAGGATGACAGTCCTTCGTTGCGCATTGAAATTGGTGTTGGCAAGGAGCCCACTATTGCCTACTAGTAATGGCTGACTCACAGTAGGATTGTTTCTGGAAACAAAATCATGATAAATAGTAGCTCGATGGCGTAGTCGATAAGCATTGTGGCCCGGTTTTCCTTGTCGTTAAGCAAAAGCAAAGGCCAGGCACGGGATGTGTAGCCAAATATTATTATCTCGAACTACTCCAAGTTTCAGAAGGCATGCCAAGCCGTTGGTCCCTAATATATTTGCAGTCTTTAATACCCTACAATCTGCAATGGCTAGAGTGGATGATTATGGCACATCCATCCCATTAATCTTACTAATATTTTAAAGGCAAAAGTTTGTAAGTTCCTGTAGGATACTTGTTACTTCTTTACGCAATTTTTTATGGATAATTTTAAGCTTAGATTAATAATAAAACTTTATTTCAGACTTTTACATCCATGAGTTGTAAATCAGATGTAACAATTAACATTTTAAATTTTAAACCTAAAGCCAGCTCCAGCCAATGTCTTTGTATTGAGCAGTCCGGTATATCAGCAGTCGCTGTCAGGATGTTACGCATGCGTTGCAGTAACGAAGCCGCTTTCTTATGCATAATAGAATGAAAGCTATCTGTGTAAGCCTCTGCAAACATTTTCCAAGCACAACAAAGCCGCGGCAATCGCAATAGTATCCTTAAAGCGTCGGTGTACTCTTAGGACATTGTAGAATCGACGCGTACACCCACAGGTCGCTCGAATAGAAAGACTGACAGAACAATTTAAATATACTTATTTTAACGTCTGCCGTATAGTGGGTGAACCTGTGGGCGAGCATATTGCTCTTTACCGCCAACGCTTTGCGCTCAGATTAAAAACGGGCTACTTTATGTCCCACTAGTTGCTTAAAAACTAGTTTAAAATGCATACAATAATCTTACCGTGTAAACAGGTGATAGACATTCTGTGTATCAGGATTGAATCTGGTGACTGCAGAGAAGTCGTTTACGTCCATCCATAGGTCCACGAGATGTAGTTTACCATCAGAATCTTCAGCATATTGGTAACGAAGATCTGAATCCAACTTCCTGATGATAGGGTCAGTTGGGAGAGCTGAAATTGCCGTGCAAGTTTAATACTTCAACTGGACGCGCTAACTTTTAGCGCGTCCAGTTGAAGTATTATTAGTTTTTGCTAACTTAACCTAGGAATCGCCTAAATAGATTATTTTAATTCCCATAAAACATTTTTTCCTAGTTATTTTTGAAATGCATTTTCACTTTACGTGATTCCTAAATATGAAGGCGACTCCTAAGTATGCTGTATCTCATGAATAGTTAAAAAATTTAAATTTTTGCAGATGATGTATTTCTGCTGCCTTTGTTGCAAGAAGAGCTAAAAAAACATTAAATAAATATTAGGGGTCAAAGTATGAAATTGCCGTTTTTTGTAATAGGTTCCTTGGATTTACATAGAATCTTCATGGTTTGAAGTTTTCAAATGAAACTTTTTTCACATGGTTTCTATGATTCTTCTTTTAAATAATGTGAAACATTTGATGATGGAAACATCGACTTGAAGAACGAGCCACGAAGAAGACCGCCCACACAGGTGAATAACGATGAATTAAGAGATGGTGGAAGCCGATCCTAGTCAAACTACCCAGGAATTAACGGCATAGTTTAACGATACCTTACCCACAATATTGACTAATTTACTTCAAATCAATAAAATAAAAAATACGAAAAATGAGTGCCTCATGGTTTGACTGATCTGCAGAAAGAAACGCGTGTTAAAACATGTGTTGCCTTGTTGAATCGGTACAGAAATGGAGAAATATTGGATCGAATTGTGACATGTGATGAAAAGTGGATTATTTATGATAACCGTAAAAAAAATGCAATGGCTGACACCAGGTCAAACGTCACAACAGTGTCCTAAAGCAAAACTTACCAATAAAAAGGTAATGGTAACTGTTTGGTGGTCTCGGCATGGTGTTATTCACTATAGTTTTCTCCGAACTGGTTAAGCAATAACGGCAGAATCTATTGTGCCGAACTAGCAGTAAAACAGCCCCGACTCATGAATCGATCTTCACCATTATTACTCCATGCTACGCGAAACCTCATACAGCACCAAAAACCGTTTTGACCCTGCAGGAACTGCATTTAGAAACCATTCGTCATTCCTCCGTATTCGCCAGACCTTACTGCAGTGGACTACATTTTTTTTGTGATTTGGACAATTATTTACGTGACAAGAAGTTTTCTTCTCAGGAGGCAGTACAAAATGCTTTCATACAGTTTGTGCAGTCTAGATCCTCGGAGTTCTATCGCAAAGGCACAAATGACATTCCTATTAGATGGCAGCAATGTATAGATAATAATGGTACCTATTTTGATTAAATAAATTTGTTGAAAATAAAAAAATAAACAATTTTGATTTTCAGTACAAATCGGCAATTTCATACCTTAACCCCTATTATTTATAATAATTCCATACAACAAAAGATGGCGAATGGTACGGAACCGTTGGTACGCGATTACTAGTAGTACTTAACTGGTTTATTTTGTTAATAACAATTAATAATCATACGTAATAAAAGATATCATATGCTTAATGGATTGGACTAATCTACTTAATTTGTTTTTTAATTGTTTTAGTTAGTTTTCAATATAAAACTAAGCAGTGTAATTAGATTACGCAAGTAATCTATATAGATACAATTAGATTATTTGACGAATTTGTTAGGATCTTTGAGATAAGAACTGGTAGTGGGATTAAAAAGTATATTAAATATCATTTTTAAAATATGTGTATACCAGCGTAATCGAATAGGCAACTATTTGGATTTCTCACGAAATTCGGAATACAATATAAATAATCCAAATATGCAAAAGTTTTGAAGGCATTCAAGCTTGTTCAGTTCCATTTCTGCATGGTTAAGATAGCTGACATCCTCATAATCAATAATGGGTATTAAAAGAGATTCTGTGGCAATAGGCGAGAAATTATAAAGCCTTCTTAAAGACCCAGCAGTTGCAAAAAGTTTGCGACTCACTTCTTTGAGTTGCAAATTCCAATTTAAGGTTTTATCAATATATACACCTGCCTGAATGCCAGCCTCCAGCTATAGAGAAACTGTACGAGCAGTGTAATTTATTTATTAAGTGATTATGTAAAGTCTATTCTTATAAATAAGTTTATTAAGAAGAAGTACTGTCTAACTATTTGCAGCATCTGTTCAACAAGCATTTTGGCTCTAAGCCTTGAGCTGCCCACGCCGACAACTTGAATTTTAGAAGTCCATGTTTGCGGCTCTATTCAGAAATCTGAGCTAAATGTTTATTGAGACTTTCAATGGCAGAACTAATATCATCAGCCGGGGCTTTCGTATTAATTTGCAAATCGTTCGTATAAAGATAACGAAGAAACTAATTGACAGGAAATTGGGTAAATTACAATAAATTACAAAACAGGAAAAAAGCAGAGGAGATAAAACGCCACCCTGCGGCATCCCGGATGTGAGGTGATACCAACAAGAGAAAGACTAAACAACGCGGCCGCGCTGTCGACGACCAAACTGGTAACTTTGAAACCAATCAATTGCTGATGAAAATTTATTAATAGAGAGTAATTTTTGAAGCAAAACGTCAAAGTTAACATTGTTGAACGCGTTAGTAAAGGCATAAGATCGTAATGGTGCCAGTTCCTATTCCTAGCCTAATATCGTCCGTTATGTTAATAAGAGCAGTGGTAGTGTTATACCTGATCGGAAACCGATTTGGTAGGGATTCATGAAATTTTAACTAGGAATACCCTAAGTTAGTTGCCAACAACAAGTCACTAATAAGTCGCTCTAGGACTTTATATAGGAATGGATGTCTGATTATCGTGCCATATTCATATATGGGACGATAATCTGACACTTCATTAAACACTTCATTAAAAATCTAACCCTACCGGTTAGATTTTTAATGAAGTGGAGTAACCTGAGCTTCTTTCCAGGGTAACTGAAATTCATTTAAAGATATAGAAAAGTTAAATATATGGGTAAGGACAGGAAGAATTTCATCGAAGATTGGCATTCTATACTAATGTTTTATATTGGAAAGATTTGATTGTTTGTTTGCAACGAATAAGCTCTGAAAATACTGGACCGATTTTAAAAATTCTTCATCTACGGGTACTATGTAACTATTTTTTGAATAACGATTTTGCTGCGAAATTCGCTATTCTTTGTTTTATCTATCTCATTGTCGGCTCTCACAAATTAAGTGGATATTTAGTGTGAAACCGTATTTACAAAAAACATGGCTGGAAGTCAGCCAACTTTTCATGCACATTACACCGACTAAAGTGTCTAATGCCCGTTTTCACCTGCAATCCTTAAAGTAGCTCCTTACTCCTAACTAGGTGTCTCCTATGCTAAGTGGCCCCTTAAACTGTGCCCCTACCTAAGTTCGTTGTCACCACGCTAGGATACACTTACGTAGGTATGACTTTGTAAAGTGACATCTCTCAGTTTTTTCGGTGGCTGAATTCTGTCAGAGCACAGGTGCTTCTTTTTTCTGGGTGACGTATGAGATTATTCTACACACATATTTGGATAATTTAGATGGTGTAGAGGTAAAAATAAGAATTACAAACATGAAAAACATTTTATATCCTCATATTTTGTGAATTAGCCTTGTTTTTTTCTGGGAAAATAAATTCCACTTTCTAAATGTTACACAAAATATTTGATTCACATTTCATTGTCCCAAAAATCCATGGGCTGGCAAAACGCTTAGGAGGTCGAAAGTCGACCCGCTTTTATAGGAATCCCTTATGAAATTAGGCGTGGACCTTAAGCGTTGGTGACAAGTAGTTTTGTTTTGTCTCCTAAATTCTTATAAGAGTAACTTAAATTTGAGGATTGATGGTGAATGCGGGCACAAATGCGGAAAATTGGAGCCACAAACCTAACCTATACCATGATGTTTAATAAAGCTTAACACTTGAGCGCATATCCAACATATATTAAATACCAGACAAACGCGAGTCGGATTTGTGACAAGGGTCCTGCGCCGGAAACGAGCAAAAGAATCACGCTGTTTGTATGGGAACCAGCGGCGGGCTAACCTCATTGAAAGCCCGGGGAGGCAATAAGCCCGGTTCGACAACTTTTTCTAACTGGGGCAGTAATTTGATATTGCGCTTACACTCATGTGTTCGCATTAACACATTTTGAACTTATAATAATTTTAGCAAATGCTGCAGCCATTTGCAGGGCCCCAGGACCGGTGGAGCCCCCCTTAGTCCGCCACTGATGGGAACCCACTTACATGTTTGTTAAATTTAATTAGTTACACATAAAGTTACTATGTAAATACAAATTCTGTAAATACTTCAAATGTCTATTTAATTTCATTATCAATATCGAGCAAAAACAAGCAAAAAAATCACGTTTGTTGTATGTGAATCCTCTTAAATATTTATTTTATTCTGGTTTTTAACATTTGTCTTTGAAGCAGCGATAGAAATACATCATCTGTGAAAATTTCTCATATCCAACTTTCACAGTTTATGGGATACAGCCTGGTGACAGACAGACAGACAGCAGTCTTAATAATAGGGTTCCCGTTTTATCCTTTACTCCCTTAAAACATACCTGAGATTCCAGCTACTATTCCCAAAACCAACAAGCAATATAACGCCGCCATTACTAATGTAACATTGAAATGTTAAGTCAGGAGAGCTTATAATGTAAATTGTCTCACCTTATCAGTAAACACTATTAATTACTTACTTAGATAATGATTTGCTATCTCAACGTCTAAATCTTGCAGGGATGTGAAAGCTCCTAAAGCGTATCCGTAAATAATCGATATCCGAAATTAACTCTATATAATCTTTATTATATTTGATAAGTTTTGCATGCATAATGCTTTAGTGAAAAATATACTTTGTGAAAAATGCTTAAAAAATTCACTTTGTACTTGGCACTCTGAGATGGGACTAGAACCCAAGACCTTTCGCAATCCGGACAACTGCTCTAAACACTGAGTAACCCAAGACCTAACAGGACTGACGAATTTTTCAAGCACTCGTTACTTTTTTCCTACAACAGAGCGCATCATCAATGTTAAGTTAATCCACACAAACAACCGAAAGAAATATTTTCACAAATATTCAAAACTATTTACAAAGGTAACTATTATCAATATACTGCATGTAACAAATGAGCTGATATAGAAATAAAATATAGCTTTTACTTAATTTTAGATTCGTTTAGCAATTTAATATCTGTAATAGAAACTGTCGAAAGTAAAATCTAACGTATCCATGACGGTATCCGAAACAGATATCATTTTACTTTTATATCCGTATCTATATTCGATTCGGTTTGGTATCTATAACATGCCTAATATCTATATCTCATTATTTTCATGGCTTAGAATTAAACATCAATAAAATATTTTTACTTATCCATTTTATATCGTGATCGATTAGGTTATATTAAGGTTATTAAAAAAGGTGGATATTAAAATATTGAATAAGAACTCAACTATAAACAGATTAAGGGCGCTTGTGCTCCGATTTTTCCCAGTCCGGAATGACATGAAAAACCCGGATGAGTAGCTTGTGCACTTGTCCGTTTTTTTTAAGGATCGGAAATGCGCACTTTAGAGCAGCGCTCTTTGAAGCTACACTTCACTTACGCTAGTTACGATGAGATTTTTGAATGTTGGTAATTGCTTGCTTTATTTTATTAAACGAAAAAATAATAGAAATATACGTCAAGAATGAAATTGAAATAGACATTTGTTTCTATCCTATAACATATCCCGTAAGATGGATGGCCGCTCATAGGATGGGTGGCCAAAAATTTATCTGCATGCGCGTGCACTGGTCCCCTATAGGTCACAAGCTATTCTCCCTATTCGATTCCATCTATGGAGGAGCAAGCAGTGGGGATATTCATACGCTGCTGATGATGATGATTATAAG